TATAAAACCGGATGAAGACAATCCTTTTTCTCTTTGTAATCATCATTTTTTTTTTTTTTTTATTCTATCGACATTCTCTATGATAATGAGAAACTATCCAAAGAAAAAAAAAGAAATAGTTACCGAACAAAAAGTGCCTTGAGTGTGTCTAAACATGATATATAAGATGGTAAAAGAACTTTTTTTGTTTCGTCACCACAAATTAAAAAGCAGAGACCTCCAAAAAAAAAAAAAAAACCAAAAGAAAAATATTTTCTTTATTTTCCTATTCTGATTAAATAATAATAACTTACCAAGTGAAATCGATTTTGAATTATTTGTTGCAGGCTTTATAATGAATGGAAGGCTTGAACGTATACGTTGACCACGAGTAAAACCTAACAAATGAAATTATTCATTTAATAACTAAACATTAGTTTTTTTTTCTTTTCTAACCATTTCTGGTTCCTGTCGTTAATTCATCTTCAATTGGATCAGTTGATGATGACCGTTGATGAGGTGAATTCGTTCGTGGCTATGAAAAGAAACATAGATGTCATATTGATAATTAATCAATTTTCTATTACCATCATCGGTGTCGATACAGCTGATGATGAAGAGACATGTTGTCGTGAATATTTTTGTTTGAGTATGTCGATTAGCATACGTTGCTGTTCATCGTCATTCTGTAAATTCATATCAATATATTGAGATATAACCAATAGTTAAGACTAATCAAATAAGCTCTGGCAAAAAAATATAAGAAAAAAACGTGAACGAAAGAAAAAGAAAATCCTCTCCTTATGCTTATTCACACACGCAAACAATCCGATTAATACTTTTTTTTTTAGTGCTACACAATTATTATCGTTTGTAGATTGATATTCATCTCCCACCTACATATTGCCTTCAGACAATCAACGGTTCGAATTGCAGTTTCAAGTGTGCTGTCTATCTTCTCTCACTTACTTATTCACTCGACTTAGTTGTCTGTCGAAGCCTCATCTCTTGAGTTGTGTACGGGTACTATATTATGCAATATGCATGTAGTAAACACACGAATCAATCACTCGACGAGGATGAGTTCTTAATAGATTTTTCTCTCTCTCTCATGCTACATGTATCTTTATATATGAATGAGTTCAACTTCTCTTCCTCTCTCTCTCTCTCTCTCTCGATATGGTTGTTGTCCACTGGTGAGAAAAAAAAAAGTTGGCTTCATTCGGGTGACTGCTATCGATAAAGTATGAAGATAAAACTTTTGGCAAATCGTGTGGAACAAACAGAAGCACTCTGCTTCCTCTGATCAGTATTCATAACAAAACGGTTATGATCAAGCAAATGATGACACTTATGTTCGATTGGTAGGCACCATTTATATTGACATTTTCTCTAGAGGCTTTCACTTCTCGTTTTTTTACCTTCATTGTACTTGAAGTTTTTAAGTATTAAAAAGAATAATTTCCGATACTGGATAATGAATTGTTACTTCTGATATTGTGACTATTGCTTGTCGTTCACAACTCACACGCCATATGAACTCGCCATCGCTACGTTCTACATGCTGCCCATTCTTATGTTCTTTCTTTTTCTTTTTCTTTTTCCTTCTTCCTTTTTTCTTCTTTTTCTCCTTCTTCTTACATTTATGATAGTTAGTAATGGACGGCTCGCCCAAGTAAATCTCGGTCAGACAAGACAATCATCTCTTCACAAAAAAAAAATGATAATGTTACAGAAGAAAAAAAAGAAGCGAACATGTTAACGTGCATCTAAATCAAGCAGAGAAGAGACAAAGAATGAAAGATGCCTTGATGATGATGATCAATCTCAAATTAACGAGGACTCTCGACACTTCATTTCTATCTATCGGCCTTAGAGAAAAAACAAAAAAAGAAAATATCGATATCTATATATATTCTTTTCTCTTCCTGAACAATAACAAATAACAATGAAGAAAGATGAGCGATCACAATGACAACGTATACATATACAGTTGTCTGGCAAAGGCATCTGCTAATGCCATGCATATAAACAATCTGCACACGTCAGAGGTCGAAACAATGAAGAATTAAAGTAAAAAAAAAGGAAGAGAAAGAAAAGGAATATATAGATGTATAGAAAAACTAAACAATGATAACAATCACATAAGTCAAAGCATTATTGAGCTTAATACAACAAAATAAATGGACGGTGTAGGTACACAGGAGGCAAAATATTCAATGTCCCCGACGTCCCCTCGAGTGTCTTTTATCATAGTGATCAAACAGTTAACTACTAAGAACAAAGACAAATGAGAATACATATAATCGGAATAATTCAAAAGAATAGAATGAGAGAGAGAACGAACAGACATTTGTATTGTAAGGAATCAAATAAATAAACGAGTACTTCCATTAGTGTATATTTTCAAAGTGAAAAGAAAATAATCGGTGTTCCTTGAAAAATATCGTTAGTCATTTTATTCTTTTTCATCTTGAAGGTTTTTAATAATTGAAAAAAATCATCACATAGTTGTAACTAACTATTAATGACTTATCCCATAAGACATACTACTAGAAAAGATTTCTCTAGAGTACATTTTGTCTTTTTGAAAAGGTTATTTCTTTTCTTTTGTTTTTTATTCAAACATAAATGAGATTTCTCTTAATTCGAACGTAGGATACAAAAAAAAACCAAACTTTTAATCTTACTTTTGAACGTATTTTATTCGTATCATTATCAACTTCAAGACATTCATCTTCTTTGACAGATTGTAATGGCACAAAATTTCCATTTGTAATCGTATTTAAACATTTACTATTATTATTCAAATTATCTTTTGTTTGTATTCTTGATCGATCTATTGTTGACGTATCAATATCATATGTTGACTTTGATTTGATATTATGTGTTCCGTTTTTTGTTTGTGTTATTAATCCACATGATGATGATGATGATGATGATGATGCATCAGCTGAACGTGTCATTATTGATGTTGTATCATGACGATATGAATTTGATGGTGTTGTAGATCGTGATGAACAAGTTGCTGTTGAAAATGATGACATTGATGAACTTGATGTACCATTTAAATTTCGAATATTATTATCATTATGATTTGATATATTTGCTGATCGTCGTTGTTGAAGAATAGGCATATAATGATTTGTACCATTAACCAATGTTGGTGGTAATATAGATGATGAAGAATTTGGTTTAGGTTTTGGTGGTGTTTCAGCATAAATATTATTACGTTCCATATCTGAATAATCAGGTGTTATATGTTTTGTTGTTGAATTTATCGTTTGTTTAGGTGAAACAATACATTTCATATTTTGACAAGATTTCGTTGCTTGAGAATTTTCAATTGTAGTTGATTTATTTTTTCGATGATTTATAGTCGTTGAATTGATAGGTGAGTCGGTTACTACAAAAAAAAAAAGAAATAGGCACTCATAAAATTGATGATGTAAGAATGTTTGCGTGAGAAAATTGACCATTTTATACAAATGAATAACTATCATGAAAAGGAAACGAACAGTTCACTAAGATAACAACCTATATACTGCTGGTAAAGAAAATAGCATTTATTGCCATTTCCTTTTTTTTTTTTTATTGTGATCGAGGCGACACATGCCTGTCGTTCAAAGCGATAAGATCGAGTCTTATAGAAGCAGTTTCCCTGAAGACTTGATCATCAGACAAAAAAAAATAATAACACAATTATATGTATCGAACAATTATTTGAACGAAAAAAAAAAAGAAATCCTTCTTCAAGAGTACTTCGATTTAAATTTCGAGTATATCAATACATTTTTTTTTTGTTTCAACGAGACATACGTTATTAGTACATACATAAATACTTATAAGGACTCTTCAATAGATTTATCTACTATAGTTAAAGTCTCAAGATAGACAAATGACTTCATATATTATTTACGTTTGGTCTTATTTTAAAGAAATCGATCACTAAAAAAATTATATTTTATTCATATATATACATATATCTGTAAATTGAAATTTTATGCAATTGAAATGGTATGAATAACATGACACTTCACATCCGTCTAATATATATTCATATTCAAATATATAAATATATATATGTAACCTTCTCGCATTGTATGTATATATATATATATATATACATTACTCTTTGAAGTTCGTTGTCATCTTACAAGAATAAAGGTCGATACTTGAAACCTTTTTTTTTTCTCACTTAGCTGCTGTTGTTCATGTGTCTATTTCAACTGAATGTTGATGAATAAATATTCTTATTCAAGGTGAACAACCATCTTCAATACTTATTATATCAATAAGTAGTTTTGTAAAAAAATCGGTTTATAACAATCTTCTCTCAAGATTTATTTGATGAACTTATTATTATCACCATTATCACAACCATCATCTTTTCTTTTCCTACTGAGAGATCTTATAAATAATAAAGAGGAATAGAAAAAAAAAAGACACATATTACGATACTACCTACTGTTAAGTATGAGACTATTGATATGACGACGTAGTAACAAATGTAATGAACAAGAGAAAAAGAAAAAAAGAACCGAAAGGACTAAAGAAGAGAGGGATTGACTTAAGAATAAAATGATGAGATAAAATTCTATTTACTAAGCACCGGAGTAGGTACATCATACATGAGCCACTGAAATATGATACCTAAGCATACGTTTGAGTACATACAATGGACTCTTCACAATAGTATTACATCATCGAATCAAAGTAAAAAAAAATAAGATCTCAATTCGTAAAAGTTAACCGAAATAAATTTTACTTACTGTCATATGTCTGTTTAACTATCCAATGCCAAACATGATCATAGATTTTTCTCATTGAATCAATACTATGATTATGTGTTGTCATTTTCTTTTTTTTTTTGAAATTATGAATATAAATAGTATAAAATGTATCTTTTTTCGGTCTTGTTATATTATTATGTTTTAAAATGTCTCTCATTCATTTCACATTTCAGTTATAAATGCATCAAATTTCTATTCTTCTCTTTCTCTTCACTCCTTTCCCTCTCTCTCTCCTGTCTTTTCGAACGAAAGAAAAAATATTTTAAAGAGAAAAAAAAAAAAGACGAGGACGACTATACGAAATGTATACAGATGCCAACGAAAGTGTAAAGAGGACAGGGCAGGGCATAACATAAAGGGTGACGAATCTCATTCTCTCATCTAATCAATCAATATGTACGAGAATGTTGGACGTAAAAGAGAAAAAAGGATTGTATGAACATTCATGTCGCATGATAGTTCAGGATTTATTGAACAAGATTAAAGACATGAGTGAATGTACACTCACAATTATCTGACCTTGTGTGTGCGTGTGTATACAATCGACGAGAGCCGCAAGGTCATTTGTCTTTTCGCACAATGACAATTTTCTTTTTCCCTTAGTCCAACATATCCCATTTAAGACAGATGTCTGTGTGAAATAATGAATGTTATCAATCACGATTTTTTTTTCTGTATTTTTTTAACTTAATAAAGGTGTTGATCATATATCTATTTCTTTTTTTTTTTTTGTTTGTCTAATATACTTATATGTACATAAACGAAGCATTTCAAGTTAATTACTCAATAGAGTGAGGTCAATTTAATTTTTATATAAGTTATAACTATTGCTAATGGTTATCTTGCATAAATTCAATCTGATGTTTTAATGATATTTTCAAGGTAATGGATGTGAAAAGCTCATCTTGAGAATGAAACAAATGACTTAATGCTTCTCATTTTCTTTTTTATTTTCTAATCTATGATATGACACAGATGGCCATTATGATTATGTATGCCTACCGAAAAGAAAAATAGCTCTTAGGATTGCCATTATCATCATCAGCTACAATGATCAATATACTGTTTGAAAATGTGAAAAAAAAGCCAATGATAATAATGATGACATTAAAGAAATAAAGAACAAAAGAAAAAAAACCTTCTTATAAATAAGAAAATCAATAGAACATTTGTTTAAGGCAACAGGAGGTATAATATATAAAATAAATTTAAATAAGATGGATAGATTTTATATGTTTTTTAATTTTCTACCTGCTGATGTACATATCATTCGTCGACCTGTAACAAGGTTGTCGAGTGAACGTGTTACAGAAAATCGGTCGGCCAACGATGAAAGCATAACTAATAATGAAAAATGACCAAAGACACTTCACAAATGACCACAACTGTGTGCTACACTTTATTTCTTATCTATTCTCGTCTCTGTCTCTGTTTGCATATATGTCTCACAGTTCAACTCTCTCTTTCTCTCTGTCCTTTTTCCTTACTTTCTTTCTTATTTTTTTTTGTCACACCTTTCCTCGTCTCTCTTTCTATTTCGATTATAATCAGTTAAAGTGGTCGTGTCTTATTCTAACTGTTCAAATAGTTGATTCAATGACCAGATGTACACTTTGTCTTCTTACCCCAGTTGACGCTCTTTAACTTTTTTTTTCTGTGAATTGTCCAAGAAAAAAAAGCGTTGTTATGTCTCTTTCTCACTGGAATTGTTAATAGTTCACAAGACGTCGACAACGACTGATTTAATCTTGCTCTGGTCTACACGCCGTCGCCGCCGTTAGTATATGTTGGCTGTTTTATGCTCTCTTTTCTTCACATTGTCACAGACATCTTTTTTTTTCGCATTTTTTTTTTCTTAAGACATCGAATAATAAAATAAAGAAGGAAAGATAACGAGAACGACAACTCTATGTAAGATAAGTATCGTCGTTATTTTGTTCACTTGACCAAATGTTCATTTCTTTGCTTGCATATATATCTATATATATTTATGTACTTCAATTGGGAGGGAAAATGTCTAACAAGTTGAGATTGAAATGGATGATGTGTTAAAACAAAATGGAAAAAAAAATCTATCGATCATTATTATCATCATCGGTCATTGTCGTTTATTGTAGAAATAAAAAAGATGCTTTGCAGCTGGCTTAGACAATTTACAATTACTCATTACTCTTTAATGGAGTCCAAACACATATATATATTCTGTGTGTGATTCTCTATTTCTTTCGTGAGCTTGAAGGAAGAAAGGCAAAATGAATGCTATGTCTTGTTAGAGACATATAAATGGTTTTCTTCGATATTTATGCATCTAACGAAACATCCGTTTGTTGTCAAATCAATGAAGCATACGACTTGATAGTCATATGAAAAAAAAAACCAGTCAAAATTTTGATGTTTTCTTCTTTATTACTATAATATATAACAAAAGAAAATACTGTCATTTAATGAACATAAATTTAATAATAATGATTATTTGATTTTAAAAAATGAATCTATGTTTAATTAGTCGAAACTATTTTATCTATCATATAAGCAAAATTAATATTGTGTGGTATATGTCAATTTAGAATAATTTATATTAAAGAGAAAGATATTCAAAGATTTTTTTTCTTCTATTTCAAAAATAATAATAATATCTATGAAATTATAAAACAATTATAACAAGTATTATACTTAGAAAAATAAAAAACAAAAAAAAGATATTTTCATTACCTTGTTTCATTTGTCGATGATGATGATGAGATGGATTTCTTAATACCCAAACATCGTTGTCGTCTGGAGTCGTTTTCGTCATCTGATCAACTTTCACAAATTACGGATCAATGCTGTCTATCTTTATATCTTTTGAAGGAATCTAACTAATAAGGCGTCATCTGTTTCAAACTGATTATCATTGAAACATATACGAAGCAAGAATCATAGTAATAATCTAGATTTGAAATGAGGTTATGTATAGATCATGTTTAATGATAAAGCACAAAAGAGAAAAATCAAAATTGTAAGAGTATAAAATAGTAATAGAACATTGATAAAATGTGATTGATACAAATATACATATATATAGAACGGAAACTAGTGATCTCCGCCTTGTATTCGTTGTATGTATACTTAAGTCAAACACGTAATCAAAAGAGATGATGATGATGTGGAAGAAGAAAGGGGAAAAATCAGAATCCGTCTTTTTCCATCGTATTTCAATAATAGCAAGCATTTGTCAACTCGTGCTTATTCACTCACTCTATTTCCCCAATTGAATTAGATTCCGACAAAACAAGGTTCCGCATCTTTTTTTCTATTTCTATACTACAAATATAGCTATCTACCGCGTCATTACTACAATCACACGCTGATATCTTAAGACTTCTCATCTCATGCAAAAAAAAGATAGACAGAAATAGAGAGTGAGAGAGAAAAGAATATGTCTAAATGAACTACACAAATATGATCCTATTTGTTTCTCTACACACATTCAATATTCGTCTTAGAACGGTATATATATATATATATATATACTAATTTAGGATTAAGAATACTAAAGAAATGTAATAGAAAATGTTTTGTGATGAAGGTCATCAGCTGCTGAAGAAACTAGTAAAGAAGGCGGAGGCAAAAGAAAAAGAAACGTCGACAATATAAATAGTGGCATCATACATGAACATGTGGTCGAACTAATTTGAACATATACATATACAGATATAAGCATTGAATGATCAATGCCAGAGTAATAGGGTACAACGAAGAGAATGTGGACATCTGCCCCAGTCAATTATGTCTATCGAAGACAGTCTCATATTTTCTATGTTGTTCACTTGACCATACTACATTTATATATAAGTGTGTGTGTGTGTGTGCGTAGAAAGAGAAATATCATCATGAGACTTGTTGTAAAAGTAGCGGTCATCCGCCGTCAAAGTAATTTGTCGCCTTACTGAAAATGCTCAACGGCGGCGGCTCTCATTGTTTCAACATGAAGTGTCACCGAACTGAACCAGAAAAAAAAAAGAAGAAAAGAAAGATTAGTAAAGACGATCATATATATAACATGCGAGCAGTTAGTTAAGCGCCCTCGAAATGTTCGAAAGTTCCATTGGTCATACACAAACAAATGTCTATTGACGTGTGTTTGCAATAGCACGCACACCGGCTTCAATGACAAACACAATCTCATGTACATGCATATAATTCAATAGTGTAAGATCAAACAATAATAATAAGAATAACAATAATAATAGAAAATAGATTATAATGTTGATGACGACAGTGGCGACCATCAAACAAAAATTCGAGGTCAATTAATAAGCAATGCAAAACATAAGAATGATCTTTTTATAAACTCGATCTCAGTTTATTTGCTCTTAGTACATAAAAATTAACATTTTCTCATTCTATCAAAAAGATAAATATGTCTAATGCTTTTTTGGTAATGGGATAGTTCTACTAAAAAAAGAAAAATTCTTCTTTCATCATGCATGAGGAAAGAAACATAAATGTCGTAAGAGCACGATTAAATTTCCATTAATCTATAATCGTATTCGATGAAGTTTTTTTGCAAGTATTGATTAATTTCAATTGAGACATACATGTAAATATTTTCTAATATTATTTAGTTTTTTAATAATAGATTTCTATATTTATATACGAAAACAAAAGAATATATATAGATATTTATTCTTGTCTTGTTCCTTACGAACAATATAATCAATAATTAGTTTTACTTGTTGACATTTTCTAAATATTCATATTATTAGACAAGAGAATAGATGAATGAGTATGTGATTAAATGTTTGTCTTTGCTCTCATATTTAGGAGGTTTTTATTGTGTAACAGTCCATATGTATTCTACTAATAAACATTTAAAGCAATGCTAATATTTATTTAATAATAGTCACTTGAACATCTTACTAATACTAAACTTCTGGTATTATAAATTTCTTTTTCTTATATGAATAGTAGTTATATTTATATATAAACTATATTACTTACGGACAGATGATGTTTCAAGATGCTTTTGTGTTTTTGAATCAGCAAGACCCATTCTTGTTGGAATGTATTATTCGAATTAGTAGAATTCAAGAAACGACGTATCGATTGTTTCTAGACGATGAGACTGTGATGTATACTAATCTAGAACACAAAAGTGTGATGATGATTATCCGCTAGTTCGTCTTCATGCAACAAAATGTAAACAAAAGCCACAATCAATAATTACGTGCCTGATCCTTCGATTACAAGAATAACACGCACATATACATGTGTACAAAGCAACTGAAGAATAATAAAGAAAGCTTTAATCGATTTGTTTGTGTTGGATAGACGTAAGATGAAAGTGAGACAAAATACAAGACAGCCACTGACGATGAAATCTGAGAATATATGGAAGGTTTTTTTGTGATATATTTTACTTACTCTGTATGATGACGATAGGTGGAAAAAAATACAGTCAAGAAGAAAGTCGTAAATTTATAAAAAAAAAAAACCAAGAAAAATGAAACTTGTGAAACAGATGTGTATCATCGATCACATAGAAAAATATTAATGGATGAACAAAAGAACACACGACATTGATTGTGTTTTGTTAGCATTTGAATCTTGATTTGTTTGAGAAGAAGATGAAGAGACAGAGAAGAAGAATTATTCGTGATTGAGAATAGGAAATAATCAAGCTAATAAGATACATCTATGTATATTTCTTTTAATATAAATCATCGTGTTTCATCAATTTGACCTCTGTCTGCTTTGTTAATCGTCTGGGACAAAGAAAAAAATGTCTAAAACAAAATGGAAATAAATCTTTGTCGCATTAGATGACGAAATCAACACATAATAAAAGAAAAATGTAAATGAATTGTATTCATTTTCTATCTTCATGATAATAAAGAATTCATTTAGAAAAATATTACTCATCATTATTAACATGTAGTAATAATTATTTTATATTCTTACCAATTAAATAAATATCGATGATCTTATAGTATCTAAGAAATATATTTTCTTCATATATCATCTACTCGTTATTTTGATTCCTAGTAATTCAATTAAACTATTATATTATACAAAATCTCAGCTTACCTTGAAATTTCTGTCACACTCATCAATCCGTATATAAATATAAAATGACATACCGTAGTTTTTTGTTGTGTGTCGATTGTATGTTTACAGTTGACCCGTAATTGAATTGGCTCTTTCGAAACGTTTTCGTCAAGTATATATACATGTATTCTTCTCTTTTTTTTTCTTTTTGCTTTATAACCTTTTCTGTTCATATCATAATGATTGTGCTTGATAGGTCTATTTAATTTTATTTCTACTGGTGCCTCCTCCTCCTCCTTCTTTTCATCTGATCTGAGCTCTAGTAATACGATGATCATTTACACGGTTATTTAATCGAGCGCACAGCTTGATTATATGTGTAGTTATGTGCATATATGTATATGCATGTTAGAAAAACGAACGACAAAGACAAATATTACAATGCAAGCAGTGCGACTACTAGTCATGATTTTTTAAGTTTTTCATTCTCTGCTTGTTGACAAAAATAGACAGGGATGAGCTCTCACTTGTACTCTTATGAGTATTACAACATTTATTTGTTATGATTATGATACTTGAACTGAATTTAATTTAAGCAATCTACATATACATACAAATATATATACTTACAATTGTAATTGAATTTATTTTTTTGTAATCTACAAGTGGTTTACTATTTCTTTTTAATAGAACAAAAGAAGAAAAAAAATAATTTTTATTATAATGACATCATGTATATTGTAATGAACATAGACAGGAAAAAAATTATTCTAATGACAGAAACTTATATTACTTCTCTAGCCATCTTTCTTCCTTTCTTTCTTTCTTCTTCTTCACTCGTTCTCTATATCTCTCTTTGCATCTATACATTGATCCATCTATCTTGATCTATGTTGATGTTATATGTGCGTGTTTATATGTATTAGATGAGATTCGATTGAACAGGCGACAAGGAGAAAAAAAATATCAATTGTAGTGAATAGATAGATAGATAGATAGATGAATGGATATACAAAGAATTAAAGATTGCTTAATCAATCGGATGCAGCACGCGTAGAATGAATAACTAATTTTGATAGCAAATGCAACTACTATTATGACTTATATTAGCATCGTGCTTTAACCTAAAGGTATTGCGTAATAAGTATTGTGACTATGTAGTTACAAGTGTTCATCTTTTCTTAAATATACATGCTGTCAAACGTCCAGTCACACCTCATTCTCTTTATACGTGTTAGTATATGGGAGGAGTAAGCAATATATATAGATTGTTTGTTCAAAGAGTTTTTGCACATTGTCGATAAATAGAACGTTTGTATTTATGTTATTCTTTTACTCATTAGTATTACTTCATTGTTCTACATGAAGTATTTGTTGAGAAAGTCGATATCTTACTGTGAGTGATAGTAATAAGAAAACAAGTTGGACAGTAAGATGTTTCGAGATATATTATTATAGGAAAGAACTATAAAGTCATATTATGAACATGTGCATATAAAAAAAAATTCGAATGAATTCTTCTGATAAAAGCTATTAGCCGACAAATGAATATGATCGTACTGTTTTTTTTTACTATTAAATCGATTGATCCGAAACAAGCTTCTTTTCTTCTTCTGACAATTGCTAATCTCAATGTTTAGTGATGTCTCAAGCTAGTTGATTCTCATTAAATCTATAATAAGTACAATTGAGATAAATGTTTGATGAAAAAAGAAAATATGTCTCTTGATAAAAATTTACTATCATGTCTTTGTCTCAACAATCAATTGATTGATGATCTAGCTATTGGTTTGAAGTTAGTGATGATAACTGATCATAGTACATGAAAAGAGAAAAATCTTATGAAAAATTATTCTTGAACTTACTCATCAAAAGAAATAGAATTATAACTGAATATCCTTTTCCGATAGAATACTTAATCATATAATGTACATCTGACTCTACAAATATTTCGAGATGAATGTTCATTATAATAATTTGAAATGTAATAGATCAATAAAAATATCTTTGAAAACAAAAGTTCAATCAATGTCTAAATTTTAATGATTGATTATAAGATGTTCAGTTACTTTGTCAAATTCTATCGTGACTTACACATTCTACATTCAAATTGATATTGATTTATCGATGACATTGCTCACCTATATAATGTTTCTCATGCATTTTGTTTAAACAAGGTAAAATGTGAAAATTGCTGATGATTGATGATACTGTTCAATGTTCACATTATCATTGACATATGAATTGAGTTTTGAAAGTTGATTGTTAATTTATATATATATATATATATATATGTGTGTGTGTGTGTACAAAATGCTACGTCTAGTACTTGAAATTTTTCAATAGAATAAAGTATTTTTATATAAGAAAGATGTTTCAATCAATGGCTTACCATGTTAAATGAAATGATTATAGACTTTGGTTTTTTCGGTGATAATTCTTGGATAATTGGATAGAGAGCTGATATTATAAAAATGTAATTAGTTTTTATTTTGCACACATATTAATTAAATAGTTGATGATTTTTTCTATTAAAAAAAAAAAATTTTAAATAATCATATGAGATAAATTGAAAGAAAAATGTGAGATCAACGAGCGTTATGACCCATGAAATAAAAACTGACACGAGAATTCAATGTTTGTAAAAATCAAACTAGTCGAACAAATAAATTTAGTTGAGCATTAACGTAGAGATAATTGATGAAGCACTCACAATAGGAAAGAAAAATGTCCTTTTTTTTTTTTAGTTTATAGAGTCGTTGTAATAATAAAATAATTCAAAAGAATCTAAAGCGATGTAATAGCTATTTATTCCTTTTTCTTTTAATGAAACTTAGCGATAGTTAGCGTTTGACACAAACTGATAATTTGCAATACATTAATGATATTGATTAATGATTTATCACTGTCATGAATGTATTACAAAGAATGAACTGATTAACTTTAACAATTCGAATTCATATCAAATCGAAAATATTTAATCAACCGTAAAATACAAAGTTAGAAGTTGAAAATCAAAAACAAAATGATCGATAAAGTCATATGTTTTTTAATCAAAGAGTTTTCGTATTATAAAAAAAAAAAACTTTATACTGCCTGTGAAAAAGTAATGCTCGATAGTACTCTTTTTGATCTAGCATTCAAGAGATGAAATAGATTCATTCTGATATATATAAGAAGAAATACATACGAAAAGAAAATATATAAGATTTGTTTTTACCCATACAAATGTGCGACTCGTGTTAGAGTTTTTTGAAACATATGGTTGATATTATAAGTGTCCCTTCATATTGAATTCTTTGATTAATGACTGTTCATCTATAGAAAAAAAAAACAAAAACATATGTACATCATTTAGTCATATTCTTTATTTGATATGAATAATTCAGTAACATATTCATCTTCTTCATTAGCATTTAACTCAAACAATAAGTGTTCTATTGAATATGTAATCACGATTTTTAATGCTACAAATCAATAAGTGAAATATATCTCTCATCAACATTCCACATGATTCTCTCTCTTTCTCAATTGATAACTCAATCTATCATCAAATCAAGTAAAAATGTAAGTATCAGTATCGATATGAAATCTTGTCAAAAAAACATCACGACAAAATATCACATAGATTCAAGCTTAGTCTCTCGTCGAATGTGATTGATCAGACAAATAATAACAGATAATTCAATACCGGCTTATCTTCATTCACCAAAAACATAAGTTATCAATATTTTTTACAATTCTATGTTGTACAAACAGAATCTATGATTTCAATAGTCGATCACATTTGACTGAAATGATGTCTAAAATTATGTACCAAATAGATTGTTGTAATATTTAAATTATAGCCGAAATTATCTTTTGTTGTGAATTGTTTCCTTTTATTTTGTACATTCATTTTACGTATATCAAATAGAATAAACAACGTTTTTTTTATTTACTTAACAGAGTTATTAATCATCAAAATTTCAATAATCAAAGTCCAATGTCACTAAATTTGATGAT